ATCTATATTAAAATTTTACTTAAACTGGAAGAACTGTTTTATTTTATTTAATTTCTTTCACTATTTCTTAAAACATTTTAATCTCCAATACATAAATCACTTTTATTACAGACGTTTAGTTTATGTGACCAGATTGTACATATCGTCTAGGATAATATTCTTGTTGAATGCATCTAAACAATAAGACCTGACGTGAAAACATTGTTATTCCTATAAGAAAAATGATCCCTTTCTTCAGAATGGAGTGTAAAATATATACAAAATACAAGACACAAAAAGGTGAATTTTTTTCCTTCGAATGTAATTACACTCTTACTTTAATTTAAATTCTTGCATTTATATTGATTAAATGATACTTATACAATTTACAATTCAGTGTTTCAAATCTCACGACGAATTTCATTCTTCACCTACTAGCAGAATTATCTCCTTTTTACTTTTTGTGATTATTATAAACCTTAGATGATAGTAAGATAATTTTTAATTCTTCTCGACGCGAAGACAATGAGGCTGGCGATAAGAAGCTTCCTGTGGGGATTAATGTCCGTTGTTTTTGAGACCAGAGAATCTTGCGAGTTTCCTTGTGATGGAATGCAAAAGAATCTCACAATCGAAGTCAGCCCGCTTAAAATTCAAATCCCTTCGTAGACTCTTGCGTAGGCGTTGGGAATAAGGATTGACTACTCCGCTGAGAAACAATGGGATTAAAGGTTGCAGATTTTCAGTCACTGTATGCCAATATAATTCTCTAAAGGTGCGTATTCACCAGCGAACAGTTCACGAACACTGTTCGTAAACAAAAAAAAAATATAGTGAAATATAGTGTCAATCTTTTTCTGATAAACGATGACTGCTGGACTAAAAAACTAATCAAAATAAACTTTTGTGAAATTATTAATTTTCAAAACTTATTTCATTCCCGGGTATCGATGATACAATGCTAATGCAGCGATGAAACTTTTTTATTTTTGATTCGTTGTTAATGAAACTTTCACTAGTGTATTGGCGAGATTTTTCTGATGAAAATGATACCAAATATGACATAATTTGGATCATATTTACTCATGTAGAAAGTGTTAACAATTCATATTCGTTCATTATCGCTTCTGATAAATCATAAGTAAATATGGTCCAACTTATATCGTGTTCGGTATCATTTTGATCAGAAAAATCTCACGAATATTTTCGTAAAAGCTTCGTTAACAAAGAACCAAAAACAAAAGTTACATCGTTGCATTTGATCCCCTCGATTAGCCGTCGGCTCGTGAAAGGGAAGCCGTCGTGGCGCTCCGGGTAAAAAATTATACGCTTGACTGATTCCACGGCTCCCTTCCCCAGTGGTGGGGATGACGACTTCACACTTATCGTGGAGGAGCCGGCTCACACTTATCGAGGATTTACTGTAGGTATACATAAAGTTAATGTAAAATATTTTATAAGGAACCTACTTTCACAAAAATACAGAAGAAAACTGTATCGTTAAATTATTATCAGTTATTTAAAATATGTTGGTCAAAAGTCACATCAATAGAACTTGATTTTTTAAAAATGTTTGTAGTATGTACAAAATATTCATTTCTTATTTATTTATTTATTTTTTAACGGGATAAGTACCCTTTAGTACAAATTATGATAACAAGAGAAGGTCGTACATAAAAATGGAAATGAACGATACAGTAATATTAATTAATGACAATGCGAAAAAACGAATTCTTTAATGCTAGTGGAGAGTGATTGAACAAGTTAAAGAGTTACACAAATCGTTGGCCAACCTCGAAGCATGATCGAAACAGTCAAGTTGACCATACCGAGTACGGTGAGTTTGCAGATAAAACAGACTATTGAGTTGTTCTAGTGAGAACTAGAAAACGCAAAAATGTATGCTGGACACTCACTAAAGAAGCGATGTAGCACATGTGAAGGGGTGACCAGATTATAGAACAATACTCCAGAAGGGATCTGAGTAGTAAGCAATACAGCAAAAGCAACGTATTGAAATTTTTTAATATTTAGAAATTCTATTAATATAACCAAGGGTTCTGAATGCTTTAGCTAAAATAGTGTTAAGATAATGAGTCATATAGTGTCAAGTAGTAAATCAAGCAATGTCAAGCAGTAGTCAAGTGTAAATAATAAGTCATATAGTGTCAAGTGCACGTAAGATTAGAGAATAAAATATGATTTAACCTTGAAATGTTTTATTTGTATTTTTCATTGCTCATTTATTACATATTTTTACCTATTAGATATCGTTTATATCAATTAATTATAAAGAAATTGATGAGGTACGAATTAGGAAACCGGTGTACGCTATATACATGTACGCAACTTTTCCCTACTCTATCCTATGCTTTAACAATTAATATCACTGTTCCGCATGCGATCGTTTTCTAACCACGATCGCTAATGGCTCCTGAGAATAAGTTCGACTATGTAAGAAATCTGCGAGTTTTCTGCTACGAAGAAGTTTCTCGGCGAGGTGAGTCGATAGTTGGCTTATCGACACCTCAATACGAGCACACGGAGGCAAGAGAATCGTCGGCACTTTGCCACATACATTCGTTAGGGAGTGGAGACGTCTTGGAAGCTATATAAATCCTTCGGCAAGCTTCCATAGTGGAATTTATTGGCGCCATTGCCGCAGGTGGCCGCGTGCTGCGTGCGTGCGGATTCTTTACGACCGCTTCTGATTTTCCTGCATGGGACCGCATCGTTAGTCAGCTGCTTCGCGTGGAAAAACTGTAGAATCTCCTTGGAATTCTGCATAAAATAAGCTCGTCAAAAATTGAAAATGGAATCGGGAATTCTTTCCCCACTGGTATAAACATTTACTTAATTTTTTTATACTACGTACATAGGCTCTTTAACAATAGAACTACCAGCGTTGAATGTATACTAAATTAAATTGGTATATATTTACAATAAGGGAGCTACGTCCGATTTTGATGAGTTTTCAATATATTGTGAAGGTCATTACCTTGACTACTGATGTGAAGGTTTTATTTGGGAGTGGCCGTTTGTAAAAAAGTTATTATCAAAACAGGTTCAGGTTAACAATTATTTAGAAGTTTGGCCATCTCAATGATTTCGATGTGCTAAAAACAGAAACACAATTTTTTTTTCAAAATTACGAACAAAAATAAAATATCATCCCCTAAAACAATAGACGAGTTTCCCAACCAACTTCAACAAATAGAAGTTCGTCTATTATTTTGGGGGAGTTATTATAAAAGAGTTACTTTTTTTCTTGAAGTGTATCTAAACTACTTCGATCAGTATAATTCTTCAGAGTTGGTAAGACACAGTTCAAGAATAGAAAGTCCTTCGGTATTGGTTAGAGACAGTTCAAGAAAAAGGTATCATTGTCCTCTTAATAACTTTTTAGTAAACACCATTTGATAACTGAAACATTCTGAAGGTCACTCAAGAGGGTAACCTTGACAACATATGTCAAGGTCAGGGACAAACGTAACAATTTTTCTTCTTGAGTCTGTGACTTGAATACAATAGAATTTTTTTAAATTCTTAGACTACGAAAAACCTTGATTATTGAAAAAACATAATCAAACTTTAAAACTTAGAATATATTATACCAGCTTTTTGAAATAAGACTTTCTTTAAAATCAGTTATTTGTTACATTTGTCGCTACCCTCAGGGGTGATTGTAACACGATATCAAAATTGGAAAAACCAACTAGATACTACGCTCTCGCCGACCAATGGTTATATTATAGCCGACCACATAGTCCGATTCTGTGTGTACCGTTTCGGCCAATAATAAAAATACGTGTGAATGGATGTGATTCAGCTACATTTGATTCGTCGGTAGCTTCGACTAATCGTCGTCCATCGAGCACATACATTCTTGTCCCGGCGCGCCGAGACGGTTTTCCATTCACGAGCCAAAAAAAGATGACTATATAAGATACTCTAACCATATTGCCATGGTCGGGGCTGTAGTGGAGTAAAATGGCAATAAGTTCAGAGCCCCCTCTATGCGAAGTTCTATCGACATAGCGTCGGCCTCAGCGCCTGCGCAAAAGCTGGTGCGCCCGCGTACGCAACGTGGTGGGAGAGCGAATTTGTGTGCACGAAAGTACATGTGAAGAGGAAGTGCCTCGCGTGGCAATATAGTTAGAGTCCACTGTATTGAAATTCACATTTATTTTTGTATTAAGAAATTATATTTTGAAGTATAGCACTACCCTTCCAAAGATTGTTTTATTAATACAAGTGAAAGCAACAGAACGAAATATTCACATTTATTAAAATGAAATATAAATATGAAAATAAACTTTTTGTTTATTTATAAGAAACAGAATGAGGAAATTAAATAGTGTTTAAGGAAAGCGTCAATTATCTTTAGATATTGAAAGAAATTCAGATACCTTATATTGTAATCACTTCTGCTTAGAAAATCAGAAATGTTTTAATTGTTTCTAATACTATAACACTTATCTAATTGTTCACAATATTCATGTTCTACGTGGCGTTTCACTATTCTATTCCTTCATAAATAGTTAAGAACAGATACATTTTCCAATAGTTCCTTCAACTGTTAACTCCACTATTCCATTTTTTTAAATAGACAACTGAGTTTTTGATTTTGGATACGTACGTAAACAAACCTTGCTATTATCATATTAAACCGTTCAATTGAACAGTTTCTGGTAGGGGTGGTATTTGTTGTAAAACTATTTGCAGTAGTATTTCTCTACTAGTCTTCTACTAAGCGTCACTTAAATATATGGGCAACACTGTTCGATACAAAAGCCTTCAGACAAGTTTTGGAATATTAGATGCTTAATCTCACTGAAATATCCAATCCAGAACCCTGATTCACTACCAAGGCAATTTTCATTTTTGAGAATCACATATTCTTCCACGTATACTTACAAAGTGTAATTATCTTGAAAGCATTGCAAATCACATAGAAAGTATAAAAAATTTCATAATAACTTTCTACAACCACCATCAAGTTTTCTGCTATTTATTTGCAGAACGTTCGGTGCAAAGTGTGCAAAGTGCGGTCGTAGTGTGGGAGCCGGCGATTGGGTGAGAAGGGCCAGGGAGAGGGTTTATCATTTAGCCTGTTTCGCTTGCGATGCCTGCTCCCGTCAACTCTCTACAGGAGAACAATTCGCCCTCTTGGACGCCAGGTTGCTCTGCAAGGCTCACTACCTAGACGTTGTCGAAGGTAACAATACCTATTTCAAGACAAACTTGCTTTAGAGATGATATGGGAGGTTCTGTAGTTTGTTCAACAAACCGAGTCAATGAACATAAAGGACACGGAAACAGTAGTATCAGCTACATATTGTCTAGCAGACGGTAGTCGACTGTCCCTGTTCTTCTCTCACCTAAATGGCCATTACATGCTTTGTCGACAACTACTGACACGGTTCGTTGAACGTACCGTAGATTAGTGTTCTCCATGGACGTCCACACGCTTGTATCCTCCTTTATAAACAGCATTCTGTTTCTATAAATCACGAACACATACGAAATCTAACACAAAAGATGAGACCGTTAAAATAACAATTTTTATTTAAAAAATTTAATTAAGTGACTCCAATTTTCTTCGAAGCAATTCCTTCCTGTTTTGATACACTACTTTGATACGATGCCACCACTGTTGCAGGCAATGGTGTTAGTTATTTCCTGTAGCAATTAACTCTTCGAGTCTTAAATAATTTTGCGGTTTCCGTGCACTGTGGACTAATTAAGTACTTTTTACGGTCGAATACTCGTTGGATGAAATATTTTTTTCATTTTTTATACGCATGTTATGTTAAAAAACTAGGAGACTAAAGACAACTTTGAAATTTTAATTAGAATAACGCCGGAATAGAAGTTGTAACGCAAGTATGTATATATGTATACGTTTATAGTGAACTTTGGTATCGATGGTACATAGAGCGTTAGTCCATAGCAAACGTTTCATTGACAACCCATGTGTGGGTTCACAGTCGTGGAGGAATTAAGCAACTCCTTCGTTTTCTTGTATCGAACCTCGTATAGGTATATGTATACACTCTTACATAATTTGGCCGACGGAGATCAGACCACAACGCGTAGTCGCAGGATGTCCCATGATTAGTGAAGGATGCCCATAGACTATCTCGCCAATGTGTCACTCTATATTATTCGTCATAAAAGCCAACGGGAAACAGTACTAACTGAGAAAGTTACCCAGATGTTAACTTAGTTTTGAAAAAATAATGGTTTGAAATTATAGGATTCGACCTCCTAAGACATAAAACAAGTGTCACACGTAGGTGCGGAAAAGTCATAAGTAGCTCTGGACATGAATATAAATAACCTTTCCTATAATTTCCTTTTGTAATTTTTGTTAATTATTACTTTCTTTTACATGTAAATAAAATAACTGGGAGAGAAACAAAAAACTTACATTACAACTTAAATTAAAAACTTACGTTAAACAACATGTAGGTCCAGTTCACCAGTTAATTTTTCACTAATTTTGTTGGTCGATACTGAATTTTCCAGACAAGTAACTCTTATTCCAGTTCCTAGGAGATCGAATCCTATAATGTCAAAATATGATTTTTTCAAAACTAATTTACCATCTGAATAACCTCTTTTGTAAGAGAAAATTATTGACTACTTAATAAGAATAATCTTTGTTCTTTAAATCTTCTCTATTTCTCGATGTACTCTTATTAACATCTCCTAGTTTATCCAAGCTTAATCGGTCAAATAATGGTTCTGTATCTACGAGAAAGAAAGAAGAAGGACGAAATAAAGACGGTGTAGATCTACATATATGTATATTCTGAGAGTTATGTTGGACAATACTACTTCAAATACTATACATAATACGTATGTTGGGACTAAACTTTGAAATACAACAGTTCGCTAAATCGCTGACCAAGTCACACATTGATCAAGCCGTCCGACAAAGTCTGACGGTCGCTCTACAACTTTGTTTCTTGAGGTTTGACTAGCCAAAACTGAATTAGGTTTGTTTAAATTTATTAAATTTATATAAAGTTGGAATTATTAATATGTACACTTTGTATTCATATTGAGCCTTAATTTTTATTTTCTAATAACAATCTCTTCTCACAATATTTCTAAATGGAACATTCAATGGTCTCAGCATATTACTAGAACCAGAGATGAGCAAAATTGTATCTAGATAAACTCGAATAAAAGATAATTTGGTAATTATTAAGAACATGGTTCTCAGCACCGATTTCAATGACCTTTAAATATGTTACCATGGCCACCATTCTGAACAACTTTTCCCTATATATACATATAATAGGCGGTCTCTCTTAGTTGCCAAGATATTCGCAAGAAACTGCTCCTGCTGGTAGTACATACATTGAATTTTGTTTACATCACCATGGGGCGACCTCTTACCTACTCTTTCTATAACACATCGCAACAGCCGAAAAACAACGGGTGAACTTAAAAATCACACTTGACCGATTTCAGTGATTTTGAATACTCGAATAAGTATTATACTTGGATCGGTATTTTTTGTTTTTAACTAGCTCTAACCCACTGAAGTAAGTATAGTGTTTTGAACAGTATTTTCAGTTTTTCGCAAATATCTCGACAGACACAATGCAGTATTACTGATCTGAGTAGGTTAGAGCTAGTTAAAAACAAAAGAAATACTATTCAAAGCATTATACTGATTTAAATAGGTTAGAGCTAGTTAAGAACAAAATAAATACTGTTCAAATCAGTATGATACTTTGAGCAGTAGTTCTTTGTTTTTTAACTAGCTCTAACCTATTCAAATAAGTTATAAATCACTTTCCGCTTAACTAGAAAATCCACTAATTTATTGTAGTTATTACAACTATCCAAAAATTCGTACATCTTCATTTTAACTTAATTTAATTTAATAAAACGAATATACACATTCGTACACTTCGACGAATTCGGTACACTTGGAGCGGTTAAAGTGTGCCTTTGTGGGTTCGCTTTTAGCTGGGAATTTAGATATTATTCTAGAGTTGAAATGAACAATACTGAATTATAAATATATAAATGTATATAAAGTATATTCAAGTGAGTAAAGGTTTTATAAATGTTCATGTAAGTAGTAGTCGTGGAAGCTAATTCCAGCGTTCTCGGTTTTCACGCACTGAGAAATGGGGGGCCTGTTGTACAGAGTACAGCTTGCTTTTAAAATGCTTGGAAAGGGCTTTAATACCCGATCACTAAATAGCTTTCTGGTACGAATAAGACCCGCGAATGAGCCGAACGTGTTCCTTTTTCTACCCCGAAAATCTAGCCGGATGCATTCCAACTCTCGATAGGTTTAAGAGGGGGTCTTCGTACGTAACACCGCCGAATATCCTTCGAGTAAAAAAATTATCTTTCAGTCTTAAAAAAATTGATTTCGAAAAATGTATTTATCCGTGGTGTTCCGAATGAAGATAAATCGAGTTATTCGAAGTTAGGAATAATGGATAAAGATAAATTATCTTTTATACGAATCGTTATTTAAGTAACTTTTTATTTAGATAATGCCCATCTCGGACTAGATTTGGTAGACCAAAAACTGATACGAAAATCAGATTCTGCCGTTGGTCCGTATGACCGGTCAATGTGCGAAGTGGTCAGCCATTCGGCGAATTGTTTTCGACGGGATCCTGATTATTCAGTCGTCAATCTATAATAAACGTAATTTCATTTAATATCGAGGTGCTATTTCGGTTAAAATTTAGTATTTCATACGATCACTGGACTACATTCCTCCGTGAAAGGGTGTGAATTTAAGGATAGGGAGTACGAGCTAGAGGCAAATGGAAGATGGAGCACCCCTAATTGGTACTTTCGCAGAAGGCGGTGACTCCGAAAGCGGCCACAAGAGCGGTAACAAGGCGAAGAGGGTGAGGACCACCTTCACCGAGGAGCAGCTTTCAGTTCTCCAAGCGAACTTCCAATTAGACAGCAATCCCGATGGCCAAGACCTCGAGAGGATAGCGCATGTGACGGGACTCAGCAAAAGAGTTACGCAGGTTTGGTTCCAGAATTCTAGGGCGAGGCAGAAGAAGCATCTGCACACGGGAAAAATGAAAGGGCAACATGGTACTTCTTGCGTTTGTTTCTTTCAGATTAATTATTCGATATCTGACAATTACTCTTGGTTACTATAGTTTGTACAAGGGTATAACGTAAATAAAAGACAGACGAACTGTTTGTAGGGGAATAGATTTGTCTATCGTCTTGTCTTTTTTTAACGAGTTTTAGAGGGCGAGTTTAGGAGAATGTCAAGTAACTCGGACGAAAAGTATTTAAGGTAATTAATTTTAAGATAACCGCATCTTTTGTTTACTCTAACTGTCAAGATTTCTTTCGGAGGAATTTTATAAATTTTCAAACTAGATACTTGGCAGAAAGTCTTACGAAACTATTCTTGTAGTTCTTATATTAAGTTACAAAGCATTCAGATATTTATTATTACGGTTTTAAATCTATACTTTATATTGGTTATATATTACCAATATATAAATATTGGTTAATTTAGGTTTAGGCAAAATTCAGTCGTAAATTGTAATACATATATAAAACTCCTTTAAACTTACCCTCTACATAAGGCCAATTAAAATGCTGAAATAGAGTTAACGGTTTGGCTGCAATGTCAAATATTATAATAATACAAATTATGCGCGCTGTATATTGCAAATAATAATTCAAATTGCGTGAAATCAGAAAGAATTTCTTCAGTAACCCAAGACAAAATTGGGAACTTTTTAAATAGATAGAATCGATTTTTATTCAAGGCGGATTACAAATACACGTAGAAATAGTAGAAGTTGCGATAGTTTGGGATCAAGTGGCATCATTTACTGTTACAGTTCATCAATCACCTCCGAATTCCACCGCGTCTACGGGCGATTTCGGCCGGCACATCAATTTACACCTGACTTATTCCTTTCAACATCAACAGCAACACCATCACAGCCAGCAACAGCCGCAGCTCAGTCCAGCTACGTGCAAGAGTCCCACGCCTTCTATTTATCATAATCACGGTAAAAGAATGTTTAATCATTTGACACGCGCTCCGATCAGAATTAGATAACATTTTCTAGAATTTCTGGACAACAAATTTGGAGCAATAAATAAACAATTAAATTACGTTCATTTTATAAAGCGGAAAAGATTTAAAGATACTTAAACACAAATTCTCTAATAAACATAACCATTTTAATTAGTGAAAGTTGCATAATTAGTGCAGATGAATAAATGTGGGTAGACTGAGTCACGTTTTATTCGTATAAATTGTGTTAACAATATTAATACCTTTTTCATTGATGAATTTTAATGAAAGTATGTATTTTATATTTGAATAATAATAAACGGTGCCAAATTATTCTATCTATGTATCAAAATCTAAACTACTTTCACAGAGAGTTAACATCAAAGTTCTGTTTATTTGTAATCTTAAATAGACAGTAATTTCTGAAATTTCCGAAAATGATTCTTAAGAATTTACTATATCGAGTTTCAGAAACATTTTAACAATAAGTAAATAACATAGATGCCTATTAAAAAGGAATAGATTACAAGGATTGGGAATAATTTTCATCGGTATAATAAATAATTACAACTAACATTGACGGACTATAGTGTACAGAGGAAAAACAAAAATTTTTCTTTAAAAAAAGGTCTACTATCAATCGCAACTCCGTCAACTCTGTCTTCAGGCTCGGAACAATCGATGGACGAACTCTCGCAGGATTCGATGATGTTGTCGATGCCGAACGAGGTTTAATCGCCGCTGCTGGACTGCTAGCAGTATTGTAAATAAAGTCTTATTATCACTTTAGGAATTATTCCAAGCTCATGAATCTTTCTCGGTGAAAGCGTCGACTAGATTTCATTAATTTAATTTATCAACGGCGATCGATAGAATTGGCGTTAGAATCACGATTGAAGCTTGAACCGTACGAACTTTTCACCAATGTTTTTGAATGGAAACAATTCTATATAAAATTATAGGATTGTTCTTCGAATGTGTTTAACATTCGATACTTTTGATAGTGTCCACCGATGGACGAATAAAAAAACTCATGGTGAAACTATGCGGTTGAAGTTCGAAAGTCTCTTTATCGTGTAGCCCGTTTCAAAGACATTAATTTTCGCGAATTATTTTAGAATGTACTCTGCAGTCATATTTATTCAGTTAATTAATTCTTTTGAGCGTATTTATGCAAAAGTAGACGTTATTTCGTCATCGTTCTGAAAAATAGTATATTTGTATTTATTGTATAGAGTGGTGTAAATAATTATAATTGAAAGAATTTAAAGAGAACGTACTTGATTTGATGAATGATGGACATATTAGGTTGTGTCACGTGGAGTTGCTGATATTCGAAGAGGTGATAATCAATCACGATTAGTAAATTAAATATGATTTACATTGTTTATTGTGCTAGTCGCAGGTGGTAACATTACTGTACGTCATTACCTTGCTTAATTATTGAATTCTTATTGTGATTGTTTAACTATTCTACGTAAGTAAACATTATCTTATCAAAGCAATAGTTTCCAGTATTTTGCCAATATGAATTTAAATTAGGTCTTGGCAAAGTTAGCTGAAATAAATGATGAAGCATTGCGTTAATCACGCCAGTCACCAGATGTTTTCATCATAGACATATATAATAGACAGCGCGGTCTTACGGTAGGGATGAGGTTGGCAGTAGAGTGAGAGGATAATACATGGAGTAAGAGACTTCTCTTTCTAATGGGGCTGTTGGTGGAGCATTCTGCTACGGCTGGGTGAAGGCATTACACATGCGTGCAGCATTCCTTCTCCTCATCGCCCTCCAGTCGCTTTCTCCCCTCTCTCTGGGATGTGCGAGCGAGAGAGGAATGACTCCAACGCTACTTCTATCCTTCAGTCTCGCTTCATCCCTACCATAAAACCGCGCAGTCTATTATATATAATATATGTTATGGTTTCCATAGACATATGTATACATATGGATAATAGACTGCGCGGTCTTATGGCAGGGATCAAATCGGCACTAGAGAGAGAAGACAATAACTGGAGTATCTTTCCTCTCTTTCTAATGGGGCTGTTGGTGGGGGATTCTCCTACGGTGTAGTGGAGGCATTACATGCGTGCAGCATTCGTTCTCCTCATCGCCCTCCAGTCGCTTTCTCCCCTCCATCTGCGATGTGCGAGTAAGAGAGGAGTTACGGCAGCGCTACTTTTGTCTTTCGGTCTCTCTTTAGCCCTACCATAAGACCGCGCATCTATTATACATATATACATATATATACATATGTATATGTCTATAGATGTTGCCCCAACAAAAGATTATTTTTTGTGTTATCGGGTGTTCCTTGTAAAGCTGTATCTACACTATATGGCATACACGTTATATAGCAAAATTATAAAACTTCTTCGAAGAACATAAAGAAAAACATTGTAAGTATAACATGAGCATATATAACATTTCTCGTGTTACAGGGGTTTCGCGAATATTGTCCCGAACTCGGGTCCGCGCAGGGACTATAATCGTGGACCACGCGAAACGCTTCTGACCCTCGTGAATACGTTTTTTGTCCGAAGCTCGGACCTCGGCAACTCGCATTTGTAGTATTCCGAACGTAGAAAAGGACAAGTCACTGAAATCAATTCATAAAGTTTTGGCGTTTTTCAGTCTTCTTGATTTAATTTTGTAACGCGCTGCCGGAAGGAAAATTTTCAAACACCAGATGATCTGAAGTCGTCAATACAGTTGGCATGGCGCGAATTAAGCGTGGAGACGTTTCAGAAGGTGAGTAATAACGTGCCAAATCGAATTTTCAATGTTATTAATAGTAATAGTAATTGATCATGCCGTCGCGAGACGAAACGCTATCGTCATTACAAAGCGTCGCAGCAGATCGCAATGAAATCGAACTCCGAACTCGTATACAGTAGACTCTTACTTTAATGCCACTGAAAATAATGCCACATGAGTCACTTCCCCTTCACACGTACTATCGCGCATACAAATTCGCTCTTCCATCGTGTTGCGTACGCCGGCGCACCAGCACGACCCAGCTTTTGCGCAGGCGCTGACACCGAGGCCATGGTGATAGAAATTAGCATGGAGGGGGCTCTAAATTCATTGCCATTTTACTCTCCTACAACCCCGAAAGTGGCATTACAGTTAGTGTCTACTGTATTTTCTTTTGTAATTGTTTTATAAGTCGGTTAATAGAATTCCACATGCAAACTTTCAAAGTTACAAAACATGAATGACACAAGATATCACATAAATATGCATAAGCATATAAGTACAAAAGTGGAAAATTATTTTTGCAAATAAAAAAATTTATAAAAACGATATGCTCTTATAGTTCAATAAACCATTGATAAATGCACATTTTTTGCATGCAACGACTATCTCTGTCTCTTACGATTAAGAATTTATATGTAAAATAACAAAAAAAATCATTTTTTTCATAAATGACGTATCGTAGAAAATTTTTCTTCCGGTAGCACGTCGCAAAGTTATATCAAGAAATCGAAAAAACGCGAAAACTTTAAGAACTGATTTCACCCCCTCATAGTGAAAACGGGCACGAAAAAAATGGCTCTAAGCATTTGTGGTTCAATATGTTCTATATTCATGCGAAGTTTCATTAAAATCAGAATCTTCGGGTTCGGGCCTTCCCTTGTGAGTTACCAATATCTTACCCACTATTTTTGTTAGTAAACTGGTAATAGTTTAAATTCGAAACATCTTATCAGCATTTTCGTTTAAATACTGAGGAATGTCCGAGAACGAGAACGAATATTTTAGAAACTCCCACAGGATTTTGATATTTATAAAACTAAATATTGTCATGAAGTGCGGTTATTATAAATGAGTCATGCTGTGCAATTATTTTTTATAATCCACTTTTTAACGAGTAGAAATTAGGAAAAAGTAATTTCACTCTATAGTTATTTACACTACTGTATTTTAATTGATTTAAAAAGACCACGGGTGTGTTTGAATATTGTATTTTAATCTCTGTAAACGTAAAAAAGTTATCAATTCAAAACTATATTAAGTCCATTTGTTAAAAGTTTAAAAAGAACAAGCAAAAAGTATGCAAGTTACGTTCAGTATTAATTATTGAGTTGACAGTTGAATGCATTAAATTGAACGCTTTAAAGAATTAATTTTCCAATTTCTAACTAACTCCATATTTTTCGATAGTACGTAAGAAATGTTGTTAAAATATGCCGAAATGTTTTGCATTGTATGATTTAGAACGAAATCCGCCCAAAATGTTGTTAACCTATTAAGATATCAGAAATTCGTAGGTTGCGCCAATTTTGTAAGACTGGATGGCGGCACAGCTCTCGCACTCGGTGTCAAGCTTATTCTGAATAAGAGATATACAATTTAACGTTCCATGTTAAGTGTAAACACGTCCGTCGAGATGAAAGTGGGTTGTAAATAGGTACAATAAGTAAGTAACGTGCAAACTCGGCTTCTATTAGAAGAAAAAGTAACATAGAGGAAAGGCCTCTTACCACGCAGTAAATTTATTTCAAGTACTGAAATAAATGTTAAACTGAATGTTAATTATCCATAAATTTCAGTAACTCCCGAGACCAAGTAGTAGATCGTGATCACTAGACTGCGGTTGTTTGTGCAAATCACATTTTTTACAGACTGCTTTATAAATGTGTGAATCGAATAGAAAGATAAATCGTTTACTAATGCTTTGCGGACAAAGTACTTTGAGGTAAAACGTTCTTTGGGGCACGGTCTGCTATTGAAGAATCAATAGAAATTCATTCATTAAATCACTAACTCATTCATTAATTCCTTATAAATAATCATAAAATCCTATAAACAACATAATTGTTTTCTTCGGAACACATATCTGTGCAAGATTAGATATACATATACATTGTATACCTACATGTATGCCTTTCGCCCACTGCATATATATACTTATTACTGACAAAAGTAGCTTAAACTTGAGAATAATTATTATATTTTGCATTAGTATAAATCTCGATTAATGTACTGTAGATTGGAGTGTATTCAATTGAGGATCCATACATAGTTTACTTAACGAAGGACTTACTACTACATAGTTACTAGTGAGAGTAGCAAACGAACGTGCACAAAAGTATCCGTCCAAAGTCAATATTTATTCTAAACAACTTTTTTTTCAACGACTTATTTTACGATTTATTTTTTTTTTCCAGTTTACTAGCAATTTCATACAAACATATAAATTAATACTTTACCTCGTATCTCGTGTGCATATCATTGGCTCTAATCTATTATGCACAGACTAGACTAGGTTATTGTGAATTTCGATGTGCATATTCTTCTACCACTTCCAGAAATAACACATTTATGAAAACAAAGTACACATTCTTTCTCAGTTGAATGTATTAATTTAATCAGTATTTATACTAATATAAAGTATAATGGTTAATTCTGATTTTAACGTTAACTAAATATGTGAAATATGCACGTCATACACGTACAATATATGGAGTCGGCGGATACTTCTATAATGTAGCTGTATGTGTTCATGATCAGTGCTGATAATAATTTATACTGTACGTGTGTATATCGTTGCTTTGCTTTGATAGTGGCATAACTTGAAGAATATAAATTTTACAAGGGAAGCATTTAAAAAATTTTAACTGACTAATATTTGAATACTGACGTCATTATTTATCTAAATTCATTTTGCTTTTGCAAATGTTTACATAAGATAGAAAAGTATTACACCTAAGGATTTTATTTATGCAAAAAAAGCAAAAAATTTGTTTCTTTATCAGTTATCCCCCCAGCAAAGCGAAACTGCGATATGTTCTTCGTGCACACAAGCTTAGGCCTATTATTACATTGAAATTAAAACAAAATGCTCACTAAACAATATTAAAATCTTTAATTTAGTACGTTTCGCAGATTCTTATTTGCTTTAAATGCATAAAATCCGCAATCTACTGATCAAATTAATTTACACATGCGATTTTAAAGGCATTACATTTCCTTCAAGCCTTAATCCACGAAAATCATGTAACAGGAAATCGATCTATCTGTCTAAAACATTTTAATCCTTATCTACAGACCACTCGTCCCGTAGTAGAGAATTTTGGAAGCTCTAACGTTCAAGTATCCCCAATTGACAGTGGCACACTATTTCCAAAATGGTAACAAAAAAAAAAGATTCAGTTACATAGTTGTTAACAGTGTTGCAAAGTAGTTATTATTGGATTATCCATCTCTGAAACAAGTGGTCTTGTAGTTAAAGGTTAAAGTAATCAAAAACCACTTTTTAAACTTTAGATCGTAATGTTCTTAACTTATTTCGAATGTTATATTAATTTCATAAATTATTTAGAACGTTTAAATGTTACATAAACGATATAACGATTTATATTTGTAAATGAAGTTGTTCGTCGAACGAAACGCAAAAGTTCTAACGCAGCAAAGAAGCGATAAATATAATTTTCCTTCTTTCCTGAAATGCAGGCGTTCTCACTTTCACCGATCCGCGGATTTCTCTGATGCAATCAGGCTATCGTTTTAATAAAACGCGTAAGATCGAGCAAGAGAAACGTAAATCTGAGTTGTCCGATGTATTACATCCCGATGACTGGTTATCCAACGAGCCTAGGGATCTCGGTGTACATCAAAAAGCAATGTTCCGAATGAAAGTATCTTTTACAATGTCTAGGCAATTGTGTATTCGTAAAAGAACCATACTTTCATATACATGTACTGTAATGTAAATATTGTAAACTAAGTATATACAATATAAAATGTTGCACATACCTGCAGTTGTTCTTTCCTTTAATTTTAACACTTTGTTTCCCATCCAGGAATACTTGAGCTGTTATAACGTTGAGGATTATTGTACGAGTGTAAAAACGCTGACTATTTTCAAGGTCGAGAAGGAGAGACATGATAAACAGTAAAAGACACTTTTATTAATAACAGTACGGTTTACAATATTGCGGTAATTAGTGTACAACACAAGAGCAATGTACCAATACCCATGCACAAGTTCGGGTTTATATACAAAAGCTACAAGGGTATGTCTATATACAATTTTCGTCTCCGAAATGAAATAGTTCATAGGACACGCGTATCGTAAGGATTGAGAAAATACTATGATATGTCTTATTGCAACTAATCAGTACTCGAAGGAATGTGTTAGACGTTGATGCATCAATATTTTCACAGAACCATTCAACAGAGTAGTGAAAAATTCTGGAATTCTACTTTACAATTATACAATTTGAGCTGGTTGTAAAATACAAAAATTGAAAAGAATGTTATTCAAGTAAAGACGCTGAAATGTGTAATAAACTTGGCCCGGGGAGATGCAGACTTTATCTAAATTTATAAATAGAGGAATCGTTTCGAATGAAATTCAAATATGTTACTGCACATTCGCAAAAGTTTGGTTGAACACTCAACACGTAAAGAACCTATAAATACAAGCAACGAACAGCTGCAACGAAAGTTAAATAAATAATTGTACTTTTACCTATCTGTAATCTATAATCCTCACCACGAAATCCTATCCTATATTTATATTATCACTTTTTCTTCCCACGCTGTCGTAAACGCTTTAGTTTTTTGGTATATACAAGAAATGGGAAACATCTCGGCTATTTAACATTAACATTTTCACGATTCGCCTCAGAGCTCCTTAGAAACCGAAGAGAAATTCCAAAACAAATATCGTTCGAAATTAGGAAGAAATTTTAATTTCGACTGTTGAATTGGTATTACTACAGTTCCTCTCTTCGAAATTCTAGGACTCGTAACTTTCAGTCGTTCGATCACAACTTTTCACTAAAAATTCGATATAAGAACCATTCGGGGCAACATTCGCACTTTTGTCGCTTCATATGTTCCTTCGGTTACCAACGAATGCATTTTCCTAACATTTTCACCAAAGTCTGTCGAAGCAACGATCGACCGAGTAGCCGTAACGGAGAATTTCGAAGAAATTCCCATAATTAATCACCGGTACCGGTACCGCATGAAACTATCTCACAATAATTGTTCGTCAAAGTTACCCGGTCTGATGGCAGAACTGGGCCTGAAGGTGGTTAGGCGTAGTTGGGGTGAGGGGTGTTAACGGGGTAAGCGGCGTCATCGGGCTGCCAGGACTTTCGCTACCAGCGCTGCCACCCTGATATCCGCCCAAGTAGGCACCCACCATGCTCACTCCAGAAGGGTACAGATCTCCTGGGTGATGCTGCATGGGCGGTGAATGGTGCACTGAATAAAGAAAATAAAGAAATAATTTAATGGATTTCCAGATTACCCCCTTCTTGCACATCATTTTCTTCAGTTTACTGGAAAAAATGATCCTTCTTTGCATAAATTCATAGCCTGTGAATATCGTACCATGTTTCCTTAATTTTAAATGATATAAGTGTTACTTTTGCACATTACTTCTCTTACAAGTATAAACATGTATTATAATGATAAGAAACAATTAAATATGTAAATGGTTTGGTATACCAAGATAAGGCTCGAAACCATTGAAAAGAAGAAAGTACAATAGACAGGAGATTACTGAATGTAGTTAGCATCAAAGCTGTGGAAATTATTATTGTTTATCTATTAAATACACAGGGGATACTGTTGAAAAGGCAATGTACAATAGGACACCCGTATCCGTGGAGGATTGGTTCTAAGGTTTTACATACATAGTATACATATGTACATATAGATTAACGTGCAAACTCGGTTTCCGCAAGAAAAAATAGCTATTTACTTTGGAATATTGGTAAATTTATTAATATATCTATGAATAAAATCAAATGAATTGTTATTTTAACGGAAGCCGACTTTGCAGGTCGATGTACACACACATGTACGTATAAGGAACTCGGCTGGCAAACTAGCGCTCTGATTGGTCGGGGTTTTTCGTTAATATCTCGGTCATGAAGCCTCAGGTTACATTGTTGTTAAGGGAAAAGTTGTTCCAATTCATCCCCCGAGTGCCCCATTTCCGGGTCGGACAACATTTTTGTTACAATCTGTATACGTATATTGGAATAAGATACCGTAGCTTAAACTGTAGAGATTAATGGTTACAGGATGCAAACTGCCGATCAGTCGGGTGCACCTGTGACTGTTACGAGCGTGTGCGTTAATGGGGTACTTCAGTGTAACGGTTCAAAGAAATCGTTTTTTTTTATTGCATTTCCTTATGGTGTGAGATCTTGATAATGTGTTCCTAAAAAATTATGGTGAAATTCGTAAAATTCTCAAACCTGCAAAAAAATAACAGAGTTGTCCGTGTGGCACGGCGGACAGACTACTGTGCGGTTTATAAATTCTAGTTTTTCTAATTGATTTCAAAGGGAGCTTTCTTTATTTCGCTTACTCTTTCGTCAGTTTTTAAATATGTTACCTATGCGTCAAAATGGTTACGTAATACTTGGCAACAGGACAGATTTTCCATATCTGGGTGATCGTGTTCGCGCGAGAATGCAGTTGTCTCCAAAGGTATGTATTTTTAACGAAGGTTAAAATAATGAACATAATGGGAATAAAAATTGGCCTCAATGCCAAAATCTACGCGAACACGAGGGACGACGGACGCATTAAACGTTCAATCAAGCGAACCTCTAACGCACGTAAAGAGGGAATGATTGCCAAGAAACAAGGAATGGCTGCTCAACACGACCTTTTTGAAGCCAAGGAAGGTATCCTGTACGGTCCTGGTATAGCTGATTAAGGATAGGTTACTGAAATCACTTGAGATCTGTCACGTGACTGCATGACAAACGTTAACCCTCCGAGTACGGTCCCTGGGTCACGCGTTCGCGAGAGCGACATGCGCACAGTGACAGAGTCAGGAGTGGGGACACGCGGTCTCGAGAGCGACACGCACGCAGTGACGGAGCTGCGTGTAAATTGCATAGCGACCGATGTTTGTTTACATGCGAACGATCGGGCCAAGGCGCCACAGAAGCATTGACTAATAAATATAATTTGTTTTATAATTCACGAGACTTTTATTCCAGTTAGTGTAATAAGAACCACGAAAATCTAAATGTAATGTGGAACCAGATAATCATTACATTGTATACATGGTGACGGTGGCTCGAGCTCGAGCCTCGCCGTCGCTGTGTAGTAGTAGAATATCGGTGTGGGGTCAGAAATGACATAGGGACCGGTGATCATGTTTCCGTACTCGGAGGGTTAAATGTATTTTTCTTGAAAAAGTGTCTTTCGAAACGGGCGCACATTTTTCTTAGATACTACTCGACGGATCGACTTGCACACATACAGAATACATTTCAAGCTATACACATTCCAGCCATTTGGCAACGTTGAATCGATACGGTAATTCGAAATATAAAAAAGTACTCGAATAATCTACTCACTTTGCGTCTTCATCTTGCTACTGTGCTTCTTTTGCCTCGCCCTCGAGTTCTGGAACCAAACTTGCGTGACCCTTTTACTCAGGCCTGTCACGTGAGCTATCCTCTCGAGATCTTGGCCATCAGGATTGCTGTCCAATTGGAAGTTCGCTTGCAGAACGGAGAGCTGTTCCTCGGTGAAGGTCGTCCGAACCCTCTTCGTCTTGCTACCCTTTCCGCCATGCTCGGAATCACAGTCTTCCGAGGACGAGGTATTGTTACCTTCGACAACGTCTAGGTAGTGAGCCTTGCAGAGCAATCTGGCATCCAGTAGGGCGAATTGCTCTCCCGTGGACAGCTGACGGGAACAGGCGTCGCAAGCGAAGCAGGCCAAGTGATAAACCCTTTCCCTGGCCCTTCTCACCCAATCCCCGGCGCCAACGCTTCGACCGCATTTCGCACACTTCGCGCCGAAGGTTCTGTGAACAGAAGATAGTGAACCTTTGAGTAGGGATGAATCGATGCAAGTAAATACGAAAACAATACACGATACTTTTGTTTCGATCCCGAGTACTTTTGGTATCGATATGTATGGTTGCAATACCAAGTAGGTATCGAAAAAAAGTACTCGTATAGAATGGATTGAGTATCGACCCATCAACATTTGATATTGTAATTGCTTTCAATACGAACCGATGTTGTTTGTATTAATAGTTAAGCAATATGGATGTAAATATTTTCAATCTTAAAAGAATATAGATATATGATATGTTTAGGTGTTGGCTGTCAAGAATGGTATTTTGAAGTAAAGAACAAGCTTTCCTGCATTGTTTCTAGCAGCATCTCCATCTACCATCTTTGTTATGTTTCAATATGCATGCTACCTCCACAATGAAATATTGTACTATAGTGATTCCTCGATGAATGCGACATAAACAACGGCGTTATTCCCACCACTGCGGGACAGAATAAATCAGAACAGAGTAAATAGAAATTAAGTAGAGGCTCGGCTTTGTGCAAAGAATAAATTTACGAGGGGCTGAAAACCTTTCCGCCTTGCCATGAATGCTCCAACGTTGACCGAGTACGTTGCACTCATCGAGACATTACTATAGTTAAATTTATCAATTTAATTCATTTGCGAAGTCAAAGACTCCGTTTTCCGTTTCAGTTTCTTTAAATATTTCATTTAATATTACCATTAATAAAGGAATTGTTTGTATTACTGATGAATCTTTATTTATTCATTTGTTTTTACAAAACTAAGGGGCATTCCAATATTTCTAAGTAAACCATCATTGTCTTTTTATATATTACATATTTTATTGAGTTTACAAATAATATTTTTCTATATTGGGTTACAAATAGTATTGATAATTAATACCTACATACATATTTATTTATTATGTATATCTTAGAGTACATATATTGTATATAGTTTACACATATGTTTGTTTATATGTTTTATGTTGTATATTAAATATTTATATCAATGTATAAAATATAGTACTGTATTTTATCTTCTCTCAAGGTATAAATAACTTGGGTGTTAGGTATCAAGGTTAGGAAAATATAACCCGATACAAGTAGGTATTGATACTTTTGTTGCGATACTGAGTAAGTATCGATACCTTCATACAATACTAACAATGAGTAATACTATCGATACCTTGGTGGTATTAATTAAACCCTACCTATGAGTGGTCTTGATTCTGACGACGCACGGTGGTTTGTAATCACAAAAACGTGGTAAGAACTCAAAGAATAAAAAATAAAAAATTGATGCTGTGTTGTTATAAATTCCTTTAACAGGATATGCAGAAATATCTCATACACCGTTGAAGATATGAAAAAAAGGTTTTGACGAAAGTTGTTTGGTATGGAGAAGGACATTGTGTGATATAAATAATTTTCTTGTAGGTAGGGTAGTGGAAAATATCTCAAGGGGAACTTAATTTTTTTTAATGGAATACCGTACATCTTCACCAAAATACGATAGCGTATGTTAAGACGAATTTAACGGTTTGCAACACAAGGTACTCTAATGTAGTAGGTCATAAATTGGTGAGATCCCAAGGAGACAAGTGAAGACGAATCGCAATCTCGACAGGTATCATGGTCCTCTTGTAAATGTACTAATTTTCTATCCAGCTTTATTTAATTTATTACAGCGATGTTAAGGGGTCATGCTCAGTCAGAGATTTTTCACTTTCTACATTTTCTTTAAGTACAACATCTCGAGAATATTCTGTGCAAGTTTCAAGGTAATCCAATTAAAAATGACAGAGTTACAGGCGTTAAAAAATGAACATTTTATGTAAGTGTAAGTTTGACTTGAAATTTTAAACGCGTTTTTCTCGAAACTACATTTTTCAAAGCGGTGATCAATATTTCTCGAAAATTACTGTGTCGATTTACATGAAGCCTTTTGTGCCTTATTTCAAATCAGAAAAACTTGTCCTTGAACGAAGGATTCTTTTGTTCGTTCCATACTTTTCTTTTAATTCACCAAAAACGAGTGATTTTTTAATATTTTGAAAAACCCCACGTTCAAGGACAAGATTGGTTCTTCCATTACATAAATCTTACTGAATTTTTAATTTCAGATAAACCGTTACGAAGTTACAGTGATCATGGCAGACCACTTTTTGTGAAGAGACATCCAGGAGATCGCTCACCATGTATTTACTAATAAATATTTGTAAATAAAAAAATTACCTTATAATCTATAAACCGCAATCTTTAAAACACAAACACATTTTTTGAAAAAGGTCTTCTAGTTTTCGAGAAAAAAATTCCCAAAGAACACTCTTTTCTCGGCCTCCTGACTGAGCATGACCCCTTAAAGGAAAACATTTTTCATCTCCAATAAGCGAATTATTCTTACGTCGAGCAAAAGTTTCGTTTATTCTGCCCCGATGCTTTCTTGCCAGAGATAGCATGTAAATTTGCAGTTCACGTTATCACCCCTTCGAATACATTCTAAAAAACTTGAATTATCGTTTCCGTTTCAAATTAGCAATCGTAGCTCCAGGCTTCTCTCTCTCTCTCTCTCTCTCTCTCTCTCTCTCTCTCTCTCTGTCTCTCAGCCAGCATAAAGTGAACGACTGAGAGGGACAAGGGGCTATTTTGGTCCGGGGCTGCAGGTTCATTCAGGACCTCCGTGCACGAGAATCCGATGGCCCTGTCCTCATTAACATACTACTCTGCCACTCGATGTCCCTCCGCCTGGAGCGCGTCAGAAGCGCGAGCTACGGTTTAAGGATCGGTTCGACCTCTCGCGATTCGACCGGCAGATTACGTCGAGATTATCTCGACGTCTCAGTCCCGCGGCTTCCCCTCGCCCTACAAATGACTCGGCCCTTTGAATTTATACCGACGATCAGGAAACGGGCGACACGCTCGAGACTGTCGACCCTCCCGCACGAATATATGAGCGACGAGTCGCTTGCTAATTAGCCTGGCATCATCGAACACGGCCTATTAATGGGTTAGATGAAAAATAGCGAGTGGACAAAATGAACCGAGGGCAGGTTTAAATTGAATACTCAACAGGATACAATATCTGTTCGAACTGTTGATACGATTGTTGATTTTTTATGTGAAATTACGACATTAGTAAGGGTCTGACATTGTAATCATTTTTTATCGCTGTCATATTGGATTCATGTTATAATTAATGTTTGATCGTTTTCGTATCGATTGCATTATAAGAACTGTTTCATATTCATTTATTTATAAGCATTGTTTGATCATAGTCATAGGTAATAATTTTAATAATGTATAAACAGTATCTTATTGATTTACAGTGTCATCGTTGTTTTATCATTGTAACATTGATTTATATTATTGGGTCATTTCGAGAAGGTAAACTTGTTCCGTTTCGGAAAAAGTGGTTTTGTCATCTTTTTAATAGACAAAGGGAGCATTTTTTGATCTGGTGAATAGATACTACATATCAGATGTGGATTAAATGTATTTATTGTACATACAAGTTACACGTATTTTTGTTGTTTTCTATGAGAAATACGGATGAAACGTAAGAGCAAAAAGAATTACACTACGCCGACTGGATCATTTTATAGCATTTTTACTCCATGCGGTGAGTACTACAAACAGCAGTGATTTTTAAGCTCTTCAAAGTCAGGGAACACTTTTGATTAGGTATAAGAAAAATTTGCGGAACACCAAAATCACGGAGGTTACACAACTGTCAATAAAAATATGCATGAACATACCTTTGTTAAATGTTCAATCATTAATTAAGATTCAAGCGTAGTGCCTTAGTGTTGCGAGAAACACCGGGTAAGAACCACTGTCCTAAAGTCTTAAACCTTTCCTTGAATACCCTGTATAACTGATGCAATGAAATTAATTGAACAATAGATAGAAATTGCAAAAAAATGTAGTAAAGTGGAATATGATATGAAATGACAAATTTAGATTGTAACTCTGCCCTGAAATCGCTACGAACATTTCGAACAGCCCAATATGATCATATACACGATAAAATTAAATATAAGAGACAGAATGTGGTCCAATAGTGACCATTAAAAGAATCATAGTATTGTATACTTACTGTTAGAGTAAAATTAATTGGTCTATAAGAAAATTGTAACAGTAAGTTTATTACCCGAAAACTGCAAACTTAATGTAAATTTTATGTGAATGGAGGACTTATTACTACAGACACGAGCACGTAGAATATCGAAAGAAACTTATTTTTTATATAGAAAGAACATAGCGAGGAGAAGAATGAGCAGGGGGTGAAAAAGAAGAATGGCTGATCGGCCAAAGGGTTATTGTATGGAAAAATATGGTAAGCCGCGGAAGGATTAGTCTGACGATGAATTGCATCGTCATCGTCGCATCGAAGATATTTTCGGGCATTATTGGTGATGGTGATCGTGCATGAGGCACGCCTAGAAGCACAGAGGCCACAGACATCGAGACGTGTCCAAACTTCTTTGTTGCTTTTAAAACTTCTGGTCGTCGGAAATTTGACGATGCATCATTCTTATACATCACGTCTGTGAAATAGATTAACATATCTATATTTTAATATTATAATTTTGTAATTGAGGCTGCGGCTACTCATGCAAATTTATGCTTCTATAATTCATTTTAGAAAAGTCAATATTGAAAAATTTATTTATTATATCTGTTAAGGGTTTCTTATTATCCTCGTTAAAGTTTTCATTTTAAGGTATTTTGAATCTTTATACGTGCTACGAATGCATGACATCTACAAGTTACTCATAATTTCATACTGTAATAGAAATTACTTATGGCGAACGTGGTACCGTCCAAATAATTACAATAATAAAAAAAGAATAGAAATTCCCAAAGTAGAAAATATATTTTCTTAAATAAATAAGAATTTGTTTAAGCAGATTCACTATAGAAATGTATTATTTACTCTGTATTGTATCTTGATAAATAATAAATACTCTTCTACTTCGGGGTAAATCATTTTTAA